CATTATTTAAAAAACTTATATGGATTCTCATTTTGTGATGCATGTGAGCTAGCTAAACATAAAAGTTCATATCATTTGAGTGACCATAGAAGTCTATTTCTTTTATAACCACTCATTCTGATGTTTGAGAACTTACTCAAAATACATATTTATCTAACTATAAATGGTCTGTTACTTTCATTGACTACTATACTAAATTAACATGGATTTATCTGTTGAAAGGAAAAAAGTGATGTGTTTCTATCCTTTCAGTTATTTCATAAAATAGTATGTACACAGTTTAATACTCAAATTAAAATCTTAAGAACAGACAACGCTACAAAATATATGCATGGTGGATTCTGTGTCTATTTAGAGTATAATGGGATAATTCATCAGACAAATTGTGTTTACACCAGTGAACAGAACGAGATTACTGAAAGAAAAAACAAACACATATTTGAGGTAGCTCGGTTATTAATATTCACCATGAATCTACCTAAAAGTTACTGGGGAGATCCAGTTCTCTCAGCTGTCTATCTTATTAATAGAATGTGTTTGCGGGTTCTTGATTTTAAAAATTCTCTGGAAGTTTTGCAATGTACAAATTCCTATATTGTTCCCCCCAAAGTGTTTGGATGTGTTTGTTTTAGTCATGCTAGAAATGTGAGTAAGCTAAAACCTCAAGCTCTCAAATGTATATTCGTTTGATATTCTCCTACTCAAAAGGGTTACAAGTATTATCATCCGGCATTTAGGAAATACTTTATGACTACGGATGCTACTTTTAGAGAATCTGAATCATACTTTAGCTCCAACCCAACACCTCTTCAGGGGGAGAGCGAAATGGAAGAGCTGATGCTCAGTTTGGTCACTCTTGACAGTCATATTCAGAGGAAGAATTTCACATCAGAAGATCCTATTCAAGAAAAAAATATCGGACGACTTCTTTGAAGAAGTATTCAAAGAGAGATAAGACAAAAAAAGTCTTCATGCAGTCTACCCCAGGTCAAGAATTTTCTTCAATTCTTGAAGATACTGGTGAGTCATCTTTGTCTTGTGAATTATCTGATAAATTCATTACTCTTAGAAAATGAATCAGAACTTGTACAAAACATTCTGTGTCTAATTTTGTTTCCTGTAACTCTCTATCTCCCTCATATAGAGCTTTTGTCTTATATGTTTTCTCTATGTCTATTTCACAGGATCAGAAAAAAACTCTAAAAGATCGCAAATTGAAAGAACCAATGATTGAATAAATAAAAGCATTAGTAAAAAATTAAACATGAGAGTTTGTTTCAACTCCACAAGAAAAAAGAATGGTTGATTGTAAGTGGGTGTTCACTGTAAAACACAAAGCAAATGGATCGAGTGAAAGATATAAAGCTACACTAGTGGCTAAAGAGTATACTCAAACCTATGGAGTTGACTCAAGAAACTTTTTGCACTTGTCGTAAAAATAAACACAATTAAAATATTATTATCATGTACTGCTAATCTTGATTGGGATTTACACCATTTTGATGTAAAAAATGTCTTCTTTCATAGGAACTTAAAAGAAGAGGTATACATGAAGATTCCACCTGAATTCGAAAATAAAAGAACATAAGAGAATGTCTGCAAATTAAAGAAGGCCTTGTATGAATTAAAACAGTCTCCAAGAGCATGATTTGAAAGATTCAGAAGAGTTATAATCTCTTTTAGATATCAGCAAAGCAATGTTGATCATACTCTGTTCATTAAGCATTGTGACGGCAGGATCACTCTTCTCATTATTTATATAAATGATATCATAATGACTAGAGATGATACAAAAGAGATGACTCGACTAAAGGGATTTCTTACTCGAGAATTTGAAATTAAAGATTTAGAAAAATTGCAGTACTTCTTGGGAATTGAGGTTGTCAGATCTAATAAAGGAACCTTCATTTCTCAAAAAAAAATATATCATAAACTTATTAGAAGAGACTGGAATGATGGGTTGCAAGCCAGCAGAATCCCCTATTGAAAGTAATAACAAACTACAAGTTGTTAGTGGTACATCAATTGACATGGAAAGATATCAGAAATTGGTTGGAAGACTTACTTATCTCTCACATACCAGACCAGATATACCTTATGCAGTTAGTCTAATGAGTCAGTACATGCATGATTCTCCCGAAACTCATTTCATGTCTTTCGAACATTATAATATCTGAAATCTGCAACAGAAAAAGATTTACTATTCTCCAGAAATGGTCACCTTAAAATAGAAGCATTTACAGATGTCGATTGGGCTGGATCTCCAGATGATAAAAAGTCAACTACTGATTACTGCAAATTCGTTGGTGGCAACTTAGTTACATGGAAAAGTAAGAAGCAGAGTGTAGTTATCCGTTCTAGTACTGAAGCAAAATATAGAATAATGGCTTAAGGTGTATGTAAATTATTATGGTTGCAGAAGTTAATGAATGAATTAAAATTATTTAAAGAAGGGAGTTTATCATTGTTTTGCGACAATAAAACAACTATTACTATTGCCCAAAATCCAATTCAACATGACCATACGAACATATTGAGATTGATCGTCACTTCGTAAAAGATAAAGTAGTTGATGATTCCTTATAATTATAGCATGTATCTTTTAACAATTAGGCAGCAGATATCTTCATTAAAGGACTTTACAACAAAACTCTTCAAAACATGATATGCAAGTTGGGCATGTGTGATATCTTTGCACCAACTTGAGGGGGAGTCTTGACATGAATATTTTGTTACCTAAATAATTGTAATATTTTTTCTTATATAGCTCTTATTATTAATTTCTTATAATTATTTAAAATCCCTATTATAAAAAAATTTCCTTATTTGTACTTAAAAATTCTTATATATATATATATATGAGTTATTTGTAACACCAAAAAGATAATGGAAATAAAGTAAATATTTTTTCCTAAATTTCTACAGCAACAAACCATCGATGACCAGATAAAGAGATATTTTGAGTAAGTTCCCACACATCAGAGTGAATAGTCATAAAAGAACTAGAACTTCTATTATTACTCAAATGGTAACAACTCTTTTTATATTTAGTAAGTTCTCATGCATCACAAAACAAAGAATCCATGAAAGTTCTCTTAAACATATTAGGATATAATTTTTCTAAAACAAAAAATGAATAATGTCCCAATCGTTGGTGCCATTGTAGTATTTTCATATTGACTTCTTTGTTCTCAATGGTGGTTTGATTCCTAATTAAATTCTGACTTCTATCCAAAACAAATAAATCATCCTATAGTCTATTAGTGTCAATCATCTTCCCTGTTCGAAAATCCTAAAAGATACAATAATTAGAGAAAAATTTAATTTTACAGTTTAGATTTCTAGTAATGGCACTAATAGATAAAAAAACTGTCAGAAAAACTAGGCACATGTAAAACTGAAGACAGTGTAATAGTTAGGGTACAATTAATAGAACTTATTCCAAACACAGGAGTGCATGACCCATCTACTATACGAACATTTTCCTTTTTAGTACAAAAAAATAGATTAAAAATGTTTTGGAAAAGCATATCATATATCTGTTAGCTCCACAGTTTATAATCCAAGTATCATAAGTGGAAATAAGAGGGAAATAAGTAATACCTGATTTTTACCATAGTTGATGCACAAATAATTGATGAAGAATTAAGTTGAAACAGAATATACTTCAAACTTTGAATCTCTTCGGTCGAAAAAGCTCCAACTGTTGCTGTTTTAGGTGCTTCACTTGCCTCAACCAAATTTATTTGAGCTCTCATAGGTTGACATTTCCTTCCCACACAATCTCTAGTTGGTCGTCCATGCAATTCCCAACAAATTTCCTTGGTATGTCTCGCTTTATTACAATAGTCATAATTCCGTTGGTCTTTGGATTGATCAGACTGAGCAAAATCCAATTTTCTCAACTGGTGCTATATGAAACATTGATATTTTTTATACTTTTTTCTCACTAAAAATAAGAATAAGTTTGTTCTAATGAGAAAAGAAGATCCTTACCAAGTATCTGGATCCGTATCTGATCATAGTCGACATTCAAATCAAACAAGAACTTATAAATTTGCTCTTTTTCTATCAGTTTCTAAAATTTGACTGCATCTCCAGGGCAATTTGTTTGAAAATGTTGATAATAGTCTAACTCCTATCATAATCCACTGAGTTCAAAAGAATATTGAAACATAGTTATTTCTTCTTATTTTGTACTGTGAACCTCTCCGCAGTTCATAAATTTGTACATCATTTTTCACTTGTGAGTATGTAAGAGATGTTGCATTCCATATATTTTCTACAGTATTGAGCAACAAATATGTTCGAGCAATGTGAGATTGCATGAAATTAATGAGGCAAGACATTATTAAAAAGTTTTCAAAATTCCATCTATTATATTGCAAACTACTGACATCTAGTTTCTTCACATCACCATAAATATAACCCTACAATCCTCTAACTTTGATAAATAGTAAACAGAATCTTGATCACAAAAGATAATTAGTTTCATAAAGCTTACAGACTTATTTGTAATGGGGTTATCAGATGAGACAATCAATTTTTTACTTCTGTCATTTTTTTAGTAATAGAAACAAGATAAAAATAATACCGAGTAGTGAATCTCACAAGTATAAAACAAACATTAGAACCAGTACCAACAAAGGTCGAAAAACATTGCGAGACCAGAGAAGATCACTGGAGACAAGAACCAGAACCGAATCTGAGAGAGACAAGTGTGGAGCCAGAGACAGATGTCAGTCGCGCACTGCGGGAGGACAGATTGCAACCAGATCGGATGGACCTACTGGGAGAAGGCGCGACAACACGCAGTTGGGAGGGCGAAGATTGCGCACGGCCGCATGAAACTTGTTATAGTGTGACACGACCAGATTGCGCGGCAGAGGAAACCGAACAGAATCGAGAACATATGCCAGATCTGTGAAGCTTTTCCCCTGCACAAAAACAAATGCACGAAACCAGAGACTAGAGGACAAAAACAGATGCGCGAAACCAGAAACCAGAGGACCGTGTTTTCCCGTGTGGGAAATCAGACGAGTCATGCTTGCCCATGCACAAAAGTAGGTCGGAGAAGGGGTGGAGCAGAGATAACAGTCAAAGGAAGAAGCCGTGCGATTTCGAGCCGGATTGCAAATTTTCTAGCGGTGCGTGTGGCTCACATTCTCGAAAATCGGTCACCAAAGTAGGGCGGCCAGCCGACAATTAGCTATGACCCTGTTTGGGTGGGTGGTATGAGTATTCTAAGATTTGAAAGAAAGCCTGAAATCAAACTCCTAAAACACCATAACCTTGCTCTAATACCATATAGATTTTTCTGAAAAAATATTTACTTTATTTTTCACTTATATTTTATAGTGTTACAGACAAGATATATAAACAAAATTCTTATATACAAATAAGGAAATCACTCTTATAGTAGGGATTTTAATTAATTACAACATTATGGGAAAGATTATGATAAAAACGACATATAAAAAAATATCACAACTAATTAGGCAACAGAATATTTTAGTCAACAAAAGATAATAAGTATTTCACTAAAAAACGAAGGAAAAGTTTTAGAAATAATTTAGAGGAGAACCGACTGCAGTAATTTAGAGGAGAGCCTGTCGCTATGAAATAAAGTTCTGCTGCTTGAGGAGATGAGTGAGTTAAGAGAAGCTGTGGCAGGTTGAAGAGAAAACCTAGAACAAATGTTCTTGCAAGTTGAAAAAAAGAACCCTAGCTGTTATAGATCAGATGAGTTGTGAAGAGAATGAAATGTTTTTATATAGGTGTATTGTAACTTCTTTTTAAATCTTTTGATATTTTTGCATGAAAAATAAGCGTATGGTGAAGCTACAGACAATAAATTAGGCTGTAAGTCAAACTGATGACTCGTACAATCTTTTTTCAGCAATCATATCCAGTCAACCAAACATCACTGACCTTTATTCATGAAATAACAATCACATTTTAAGCTCATTCTCACCCTATTCAGAAAACCAACCGTGTGTGTGATTAGTAATTATAAGAAAATATTTTGAAACTTAGCTGAAATCAATGACATGGTGAAATTTTCAAGGAAACCTATGACACTAATAATGACGAAAATTTATAAATGTGACTTTTATTCACCAAATATTTAAATCAATGCAAACAATAAGATATATTTAAACTAAGCATAAGACGTGGAAACTAGATCAACTTTAGAAATCGTGCATTATTTCTACAAAATCCCAGCTAGTGAAAAATTAAAGTAATCAAATCTCAAGAACAATAGAACCAGAACCATGAATACAAATTGACCATTTTATTCCCATCAACAATCATCAAAGAGAGCAAGAATGAATATTGAAAGCCCCAAGTTGTAACGAAAGCCCAGGTTCCTAATTTTACAATTTTCAACTAACCCGTGTCAATCATCTATTCAAGGAAAGAAATAGAAGAGCCTTGAAAGATACTTTTTTCGTTTAATTTCAGGATGTTTAATTCTATACTCTTTGTTTTTTGTCTCAATTATGCAGAAGACCT